TTAACCAATGCCGAACTGATGACGGAGGATCCCTGGAGCATGTACGAACAGAAATTACTGAGTGCCAAACACTCATTAAACATGGTCTATAGGGTATTAGATATAGCTCATCACACTTCAATTCACAATCAACAACAGAAAAGACCTCTTGCCAATCATCACTTTAAAGCAGATAAACCATATCAATTTTCCTATGTTCTCTGTCATCTCTAAACTGTACGGTGTTACGTTTAGCCTTAGTTAGTGGATGTTCGCAGACATGCAATAACCATGTTTCTCATTGCTAATTTTGTCATTATCCCCCTCTTGGCAAAACTAGACTGAAAAGGTTAAAATTTAAATTTGTATCGAAAGTATTCCATGAGAAAAAAGAGTTGCAGCAGGATGGATTCAAGCCTAGCACCTCAGACTTTACTATGTACATTTTGTCGTAGCGTTGTAAACTACCACTAAAAGGGTTATCAGTAAAACTCGGGATCAGGGTCGGGGCAGGGGCCGGGTTCTATCTTTTTTTAAAAGAATGCTGTTTTAGGGTTAGGGTTAGGATTAGGGTTAGGGTAAGTGTCAACCCTAGGACCCAGTCAAACAAACTGCTGTCTTTGATAAGAAATGGCAGGAATTTAAAAAATTTCCCTAAGCCAGGCTCAAAACGGGCACTATTTCTTACATAAAATGACGCAGTTCCAGGTTAAAGCTATGCTCTTCAGTCCCTTGTTGACGTGCTGGGGCTTAAAGCAAGAGTGTATGATTACCGTAAATGTAGAAAGGAGCCGTTGACCGTCTAGGCCGCTCATCATCTGCATACACTCCCCAAAATAGGTTCCTGTTTCTGAAATTTTAAACCAAGGTTTTTGGTTTTGTTCGGTGTCGGTGTCCTGTGCCTCGAAAGACTGCACTGTACACTATAGGAATCATATATGAAGTACCAATCCAGGTCCCGATCCCTGTCGCTGACCAAAAGGATCGCGGCCTCTGGGAACGAGATTGTGGCCCTTGGGAATCTGGGTGCGAGGTTAGCCAAGGTGAGATTTTGCATAAAAATGTGCAAGCTCAGCCGTTCTGGGAGATTTTTTGTAGTTTTTTCGAAGAGCTTCGCCCTTTTCTATCTTGGCATCGATTCAGTCTTTACTTATTTTATTGGCTTCAAGCTTCTTTGCAAAGGGCCCAGCGATGTTAGTATGAGAGGTTTTTAACACCTGACAACTGACTGCTAGCAGGGAATCCCATTGTGTCGATCGTGTATAAGCTTTGACACCAAGATTCCACATTTCAGAAATGTTCCTTTCAAGAATTCTGACTGTTTTCGCGGTAAGTTGTTTAAATGTAAATGCGAAGCTTATATAAACTTACTACCAACACCGGGGAAATAAGATGACGGCCCATGTGAGGATAAATTATTTAATTTTTATCCCATAGCTTAATCGATCATATACTGATCTTATGCATCAGTCAATTCCACCTGCGCCCAGCCCCCCCCGGGCAACTGCGGGGCATTTGCCCGCCTTGTCAGTCCCGGGGGTGGGGCATTTGCAAATGTTGCACTGCCCGGGGGCCGGGCATTTGCCAACCCCCGGGCCAATCCCGAGCTTTTGACACGCACGCGGTTTCCTATCAGAATATAAGGTTTTACTGGAAGAAAAGCAGATTGGCTCATTTGTCAAGGACAGAAATAAATTGTAGAGGGTTGTAAACGCGTGTTCTCGATTTTAAATGTATGTATGCATTTCTTCATTGCTTATCAAGCCAGAATTACGTAGCGAAATTGGAGCTATCGATGTGAATCAACGTTTTTTGGTTATTGAATCAAATTTCTGTTGATATTATTTGAAGAACATCCTTTCATATTTATAAAACTATTCATAACATATAACTTTACAGCGCTCTGTTAATTTTAATGTCAATAATTTTATACCAATACTAAAACCATATTAAAACTGGTGCATGTCGTCGCGGCGTGAAGTCTTAATTAGAATCCTCGCGCTATTACAAAGGAAGACGTTAATTAAACCAAAAAAATCGCACATTAAAATGCTTAAAACGGCACTATTTGACTGTGCGATCAATGAAAATTGTTGCAGTGTTGACGGAGGACGGGGCATTTGCCCTCTTTTTTCGTCCCCACCCCGGGGAATTTGACAGCTCAAGAGTCCCCACCCCCGGGAATTTGCCATCCAAGGCAAAAAAAATGCTAATGCCCGGGGGTCAGCCCGGGGGGGGGCTGGGCGCAGGTGGAATTGACTGATGCATTATCCACACGATTAATTATTTGGTTTTTGGGAATGCGGCTAGAATTAAGATAGCTTTGCACGCACGTTTCTTGTTGTCCGGAAAAGGTTTGATATTTATGTCCGGTCTAATATTTGCCTTCAATTATAAATGAAGGAAATTCCCGGGGTCTCAATAACAAGCGCCCTGTGAATCGATTTGCTGGCCACCATAACTATTGGGAAATAAAGCGGTTATATGTAATAATTATTTAAGCTTATCAAAATGTACATCCAATATTATTATTCACTCAAAATATTTCGCCATTTCTGATTGGCTCCAATCCCCTGACTAATTCCTCATATCCAGCCATCGCTTACCATATTTGGAAGACATAGGCAATAATCGACTGATTTTAAAGTGCATATCACCTAAAATTGTTTATTTTCTTATCTGAAACTACACCTTATTAAAATGACTTCTGCGAAAAAATTTTGCGATTTGAACCAAAGATGATTTTTTTAGAATTTTTTAAAAACGTTCAAATTTGCTGCCATTTTGGCACACCATTCGTCTTAGTCTTCTCTCGGGGTATGACATACTTTAAGGAACACGTGATTTTATCGGCAGGAAAACACTAAAAGTTCTGGTAGGTTTTTCTGTTTCAGAAAAACTTTCTTCTTGCGAAGACATTGTGATTCAATCCTTACTTGTAATTGATCTTTTTTTGTGTACAGCTGGTGAAGGAAAGGTAATGCGAGTTCCTTAATTTACGTCACATGACGTCATATATGAGTTTGCGTGATCAGCAGCGCGGGTGTACCGCAAAAATGTGGACTTCAAAAATTGGTTAAAAAATCGCGTTTTGTTGAAATGGCAAAATTTTTCTGCACAAGTTATTTTAATAAGGTATAGTTTCAGATAAGAAAATATAAAATTTTAGGTGATGGGCACTTTAAACCGGATCACTGAATGAGGTTTTTGTGGTATGATATCCGGAATAATCAGGGGCGAGGTAAATGTCTTCAGCCAAGCTGAATACTGAGGCTGATAATACTTAACGAATCCTTGATTATTTAAGGTATTACTAAAACCAATTCAAATAATTGTTTTATTATACATTGAAGAAAACAACAACAAACTCACGGTTGTGAAGAACCTCAATTATTGATATTGTTATTGGAAATCATGCATTGTGCACTGAACCAACAGATTAGTCAGCTATCTCCTAGCAGATAACTCACTAATCTGTAGGTTGTGCTTATTTCCAAAATTAGCTGTAGGCTCTTAGTCAGTGAGAAGACAGATAGTGAGTACAATGTATAATAAGAGGGGTTAATGCCCCAATTATAAAAAATAGCAACCTGGTTTCCAGACAGCAGCATGGCAGCCTAGCTGTTTATGCGTGAGCAAACTTAGACTGAAAAACAGTACATGTGAGCAGTCAAGCGAAAGGTCTGGAGTGAGACCGCTTCTCCCAGCCACAGGCAATTTGATGCACTTTGTTAATAAGCTGCCAAAAAGTTATGTTTTGAACAAGTCATTCTCGATGTTCCCAACCGTGATGATTTCCTAAAGCTTTCGCTTTTTATGATCCCCTAAATTTGCTGGCGCAGGAATTAGGGTTTAGTCTAAAATCAGAGCAGAGGGAAGCTTTTTGGTTTCTCTCTAATTTTGTGAAAGTATCACAGTGCAGTTTCAAGCCTTTGTTCTACACCTCAAGCAAATTCTTGAGGAGAAAGAGGCTCATTTGTCCAGGACAACGAAACGTTCGTTTTTCAGAAGGCTGGACAACTTTGGTGATGTTTCACCTTTTCTAGTAGGGGAAAAAACCACATTTTTGGAGCTTATTCACTCACCCTTAATATCTCAAAACTGTGTTGTGAAACAACAGCTGCAATTATCTCAAGCGCTTGGCTCTTTTGGCTTTCCCCCTCTTCAAGGAGCAGCACAGGCTTTTTCGGTATACTGCCACTCATTTTTGATCTTCCAGAAAACACTGCGTTGCACAGGGAAATGACACTTAAGACTTGCTATGGAATTACTGGATACCATGTTCACCACTAGATATGAAGCCAAGTGCAGACAATAGTATGCACTATTCTCCCACAATATCAATGAATGAGTGTATCTTATTCACAAAGAGGGTGGAGTTGTGAACAGAGTTTTGACAGCTCATGAAATTTTTGAACCTCCTGGTCACAATGAACTTGTTATGTGGAAAACAGAGAGTCCGTTTTTTTCTCAGACAAAAAGGTTATGCTAAACTAATTTTGAGAAAAAACTGACTGTTTTGGAGGCTAGAGTAAATAGCTCAAACTTTATGTGGAAAGTGTAACAAGCTTGCTACATGTCAGAAGTGCGTCTCAGTTCCACATTTACCATCAAAACCTTGCTCGTTTCCCAAAAATCTTTGAATTCATTTTACACTAAGGCAAACTCACAAGTAAAGTTAGCACTTTCCCTGCCGATGGATCAAAGCCTGATTTCAGCTCTGTACTTTAGCTGTTGAACCTGAGTTGAGCTTCAGGTGCTTTTTTTTCATGGTGGCCCAGCTTTAATCAATTAATGCTACGTTTTAAAAATGCTTGGCTATTTGCATATAACAACAATATAATTTAAGTAAGGCAATGACATAAAGGAAAAATAGAATTAATTAACAAAAATGAAAAAAACAAGGAGTGGTCTTCACAACAGGATATTTGCATCAGTTCTGGTTACCAGTTCAGATGCTCTACCCCGATAATTTATTTCTTTCTCTCTTTCTTCAGTGGTTTCAGATGTGTTTTCTCCATATGGTGGTGGTTTTTGGGAATCGGTGTGATAACAAGAACCATGTTGAACTTGTTGATCCTAATGATCATTCCAAATTTGAGTGCTGGCCAGTACCTACATGTCAAGAGGGACAGGAACCATCTGTAAAGCCGGGGTCGGTGCATCCAATGGCGACAGATGTCTCCTGCATACCTTGTGGTCATGGTTGGTTTTCCAATCATGAGACTAACTTCAGATGCCAGAAGTGTACATCGTGTGGTAACAAGGATGTTCGTGTAAACTGCTCGATTTATAGAGATGCTGTTTGCTCAAAGAGTTGTAAATCAAAGACACATTATTTTAATGAAACTGATGGTCAGTGCTACACTTGCACTGAATGTTGTGGGAAAGACATGTCAAACATTGAACCACATTGTTTATTAAAAAATTTACGTGTCGGTTCAGTGATTGGACAAGCGGGGGAACTGCATTGCAAAGTGTTATCATCTCAAAAATGTGATGAACCGTCGCAAAATGTGTCAACTAATATTTCATCTGTTATTAATAGTAACAGTGGTGTGTTGGAGAGAAACTGTAGTAGGCCAGAGAACAATGTCACACTGCCATCTACTGACAGCAATCCTAGTGCCTCAAGAGAGGGACCTAGATGCAGTTGGAACTCACGTCCCCACATTCTACTCATATGTGGCTTAATTTTGGTGGTAGTAATTCTGTTATTTCTTTATATAAGAGAACGAAATAGAAGATTAATTCCAAGAAATGATTACTGGTATCTTTCATCTTTGGTGTGCTGCTCTCCATGCAAGAACTCTTGCTTCCCAGGTTTGTCAGGTATGTGTACATTTATAATTTATAATTTACTAGAAATAATAATAATAATTATTTACTAATAGAAAAATTCATTAGTTTGCTCCGCCTTGAGAAACATTGAGGTTCTTGAGAAACAATAAACTGTTTCCCTCGGGACCAGTCATTAAGGTCAATCGTTGGTCAATGAGGGATTTATTATAATTTTATGGCCAAAAAGAGAACTTGTTCTTGCAGGTCCAATGCAGGATATTGAGAGCAGGCAAGAGAGGATGGGCTTATTTCGCCTGCTCTGGTTGCCAATCACAATGCATACCATAATTCATTTCATAGCCAGCCCGCTTGTGGATTCAGCCATTTAATAAATAAGCTTCTGTGGGATTCTTGGGGCATTTGTTACCCTGAAAAGTGTATGGAGGGGTGGGTTAAATAATTCTTGTATTAGACTTTATTGTCTGATTCAAGGTCTTGACTTTTTCCCACACCTTTGGTAATATAGGCCCAGGATGTAGTGCTGACTGCCAGAGAGCTATGCTGGAAAGAAACACCTTTGAGGAAGAATTGAACTGCGTTCCAGAGGGTGTGTGGCAATTATTGTTTAAACTGATCATCAATATTCTAATTGCCCTTGTACATGTAGAGCCAGACACAATGAAAATAATTAATAATAATTATGCTCTAACTTGCTATGTTTTGATAATGTTCTGCTCACTTTCTGCCTACAGAAATGTATTATTTTATAGTTTTTTATGTACTGTAACTAATACCCACCAATGACTGATGAAACTTGTCAGCTACTTAATGCTCAGAGAAGTCAACCTTTCCCTCCCCCTAAATTGAAAAAGAGAAAGAAAGACATTCAGCCAAAAATTTAATTTGACGAACTTGAACATACTTTTTACCTCAGTTTGAAAACAATTTGAAGTTTGAGAAAGATGATAAATTCAATCAGTGATACAGGCGGCTCAGACTGTGAAAAATCCAGGTACTCCCAATACTCCATGCAAGATTTGTCCATGTGCAAAATTATTGTCTTTTCTTAATAATATTTACTAACAAAAAAATTCATTAGTTTGCTCCACCTTGAGAAACATTGAGATTCTTGGGAAATAAAATTAACTGTTTTCCTCAGGACCAGTTATTAAGTTAAATCATTGGTCAATGAGGTATTTATTATATGGCCAAAAAGAGAACTTTTTCTTGCAGGACCAACGCGGGAAATTCGGAGCAGGCAAGAGAGGATAGGTTTATTTCGCCCGTTCTGGTAGTTAATCACAATGCTTAATTCGTTTCATCTTGCCCGCTTGTGGATTCAGCCACTTAATAAATCAGCTTCTGTGGGATTCTTAGGGCATTTTTTACCCTGAAGAGTGTATGGAGGGGTGGGTTAAATAATTCTTGTATTAGACTTTATTGTCTGATTCAAGGTCTTGACTTTTTCCCACTCCTTTGGTAAAAAAATATACCGGTAGGCCCAGGATGTAGTGCTGACGGCGAGAGAGCTATCCCGGAAAGAAAAACGGTAGAGGAAGAACTGAAGTGCGTTCCAGAGGGTGCGTGTCAATTATTGTTTAAACTGATCATCAATATTCCAATTGGCCTTGTACATGTAGAGCCAGACACAATGAAAAAATAATTAATAATAATGCTCTAACTTGCTATATGTGTTGATAATGTTCTGCTCACCTTCTGACTACAGAAATGTATTATTTTATAGTTTTTTTTATGTACTGCAACTAATACCCACCAATGACTGATGAAACTTGTCAGCTCCGTAATGCTCAGAGAAGTCGACCTTTTCCCCCCTAAATTGAAAAAGAGAAAGAAAGATTCTGCCAAAAATTTAATTTGACGAACTTGAACATACTTTTTACCTCAGTTTGAAAACAATTTGAAGTTTGAGAAAGTGATGCAGGCGGCTCAGACCGCGAAAATCCAGATACTCCTAATACTCCGTGCAAAATTTGTCCATGTGCAAAATTATTGTCTTTTCTTAATATTTACTAATGGAAAAATTCATTAGTTTGCTCCACCTTGAGAAATATTTAGATCCATGGGAAACAAAATTAACTGTTTCCCTCAGGACCAGTTATTATGTTAAATCATTAGTCAATTTTAGGGATTTATTATATGGCCAAAAAGAGAACTTTTTCTTGCAGGACCAACGTGGGAAATTAGGAGCGGGCAAGAGAGGATGGGCTTATTTTGCCCACTCTGGTAGTCAATCACAATGCATAATTCGTTTCGTCTTACCCGCTTGTGGATTCGGCCACTTGAAAAATCAGCCTCTGTGGGATTCTTGGGGCATTTTTTACCCTGAAAAGTGTATGGTGGGTGGGTTAAATAATTCTTGTATTAGACTTTATTGTCTGATTCAAGGTCTTGACTTTTTCCCACTCCTTTGGTAATACAGGCCCAGGATGTAGTGCTGACTGCCAGAGAGCTATGCTGGAAAGAAACACCTTTGAGGAAGAATTGAACTGCATTCCAGACGGTGTGTGTCAATTATTGTTTAAACTGATGATCAATATTCTAATTGGCCTTGTACATGTAGAGCCAGACATAATGAAAATAATTAATAATATGCTCTAACTTGCTATGTTTTGATAATGTTCTGCTCACTTTCTGCCTACAGAGATGTATTATTTTATAGTTTTCTTATGTACTACAACTAATACCCACCATTACTGATGAAACTAGTTACTTATTGCTCAGAGAAGTCGACCTTTCTTCCCCCTAAATTGAAAAAGAGAAAGAAAGATATTCTGCCAAAAATTTAATTTGACGAACTTGAACATACTTTTTACCTCAGTTTGAAAACAATTTGAAGTTTGAGAAATTCAAAGATGATTAATTTCAATCAGTGACACAGGCGGCTCAGACCGTGAAAAAACCAAATACTCCTGGCAAAAAATTAATTTGTCCATGTGCAAATTATTGTCTTTTCTTAATAATTATTTACTAACAGAAAAACTCATTAGTTTGCTCCTTCTTGAGAAACATTGAGATTCTCGGGAAACAAAATTAACAGACAGTGCTGGTCTGTTTCCCTTGCGACCAGTTATTAAGGTGAATCATTGGTCAATGGTCAATAAGGGATTCATTATGGCCCAAAAGAGAACTTTTTCTTGCAGGACCAATGCAGGAAAAGCGGAGCAGGCAAGAGAGGATGGGCTTATTTTGCCCGCTTTGGTAGCCAATCACAATGCATAATTTGTTTCATCTTGCCTGCTTGTGGATTCAGTCATTTAATAAATCAGCTTCTGTGGGATTCTTGGGGCATTTCTTACCTGAAAGGTGTATGGATGGGTGGGTTAAATAATTCTTGTATTAGACTTTATTGTCTGATTCAAGGTCTTGACTTTTTCCCACAACTTTGGTAATATAGGCCCAGGATGTAGTGCTGATAGCGAGAGAGCTATCCCGGAAAGAAAAACCGTAGAGGAAGAACTGAAGTGCGTTCCAGAGGGTGCGTGTCAATTATTGTTTAAACTGATCATCAATATTCCAATTGGCCTTGTACATGTAGAGCCAGACACAATGAAAATAATTAATAATAATTTAATATCATTATGCTGTAACTTGCACTGTTTTGATAATGCTCTCAGTCTGTTCACTTAAGTCTGCCTACAGAAATGTATTATTTTATAGTTTTTTATGTACTGCAACTAATGCCCACCAATGACTGATGAAACATGTAGATGTACATGTGTAGAGCCAGACATAATGAAAATAATTAATATTATATGCAAATTAAGCTCAAGTCAAGTTCATTACTTTATTTAGTTGACTTGTCGACAAATAAGCTTAAAACTAAATTTAATAATCTTTTTTACAGAATGATTTTAAATACAAAAAGAATTCACAACTCCTTTTGAGGAAATTTCCCCGCAAGAGCTAAACAATTGCCTTCAAAAGTTTTATTTGTCGGCAAGAAAAGCGACGACCGTGGCCATTTGGTCATTATGCGCCAAAATTGTAATCGATGCAGGCAACAGTAAATGGGTTAAAAATCATCATTTTTGTGCCCAATTATCTCACTGTTTTAGCATAATTATACTAAAACAATTATTCACCTCAGTGTCGGTGGCTAGTGGTGGCTATTTACGTTGCCGCTAACGCGGCCTCTGTATATACCACCACTAGCCACCTCCACTTAGGTGAATAATTGTTATTTATTATATAGTTTTACTCCATATTCTTGGGAGGGAACCTGAAGGAGCTCAAGCAACAATGATGGTGACAGCTACAAAAACATTACTTATAGCCAAATTCGTTGTACCGCGCTGTGCATTTTGCAAATTTCGAAGGAATTTTGGGTGTTTCTGTTCCATCAATCATCTTAGCGAACCTTTTAGGAAACACATGTTTACTTGTGATTGGTGCGTTTCAATCCACTTTGTTTGTTTCTGTGTTTCAATGTTCATTCATTTGCTTGTAATCGCCCTGTTTCGCACTGTTTCGGGCCTTGATCAACTAGTTTTCTTCGCAGCTTTTTATGATCTTTCTTATTCTTGTCTCTTGCAAAAATAAATCAATGTCTGCCTCCTGCCCTCAACAAAATTTCAACTCATCATTGCAATTTCCTTCGCTATTCTTGAGCAGTTTAGGTTCATTCTCAATTTTGTTTTTGCGGGCCAAGTTAGGCAAATGCATGGCATTATGATTTGTATTAACTCCTGACCCCCACTCAAATGATTGATGGAACAGAAAGACCCATTCAAAGTTTGCAAACACGAAGCGTGATACAACGAATTATTTTGGCTATAAATTCAATAAAAGGTGTATTGTCACTTCTTCAAACTTTAACACTCTCATTCTATCTCATTCGATCAGTTCGTCGAAAGACTATCAAAGTTCAAGAAAAGAAAGAGAAAGTAGTTGTATTGTGTTTTCACCCTCCACAAAAGGGCACTTTCATGTCATAGTCATGCAGTTACGGCAAAGAAATGAACAAAAAAGCATTACGCACATGCAAAGTTCTTCAGTTGTTAAACCTATATTTCTTTTTCGAGGCCACCACCAGGGTTTCCAATAGAAAAGATGAATCTTATGTTTACAAGCACTGAACGTTAGTTACATTTTTCAGCCCATTAAGAGTGTCAAAAAAGTGGGAAATTTATTCATTTTAACCCATTTGCCTCCCTGCCCACCACCATAAAAGGGAGGAGATATTACTGACATGTATATAAGCTTGCCCTACATCAATACTATCAGGGGTGCCCTGAAAACCATACCCTGGTGAGTGGCACATACCCATTTTATAGGTCAATGTGGGAGTGTCCCCTCCTGCGGCCTAGTCTAGGGTCAATTTATAGTTTTTAGATGTTTAATAGTGTATATTATGCCTGATTCAAGGGCCTGACTTTTTCCCAAACTTTTGCTAATTTTTTAAAGGCCAACCTGACAGTGAGACAGCAGCTAGTTTATTAGTGGGCTTTGAGGAAAAACTCCAGTACATTCCAGAGGGTAAGTGTCAACAGATCAAGAGTGTGGTGTTTTTTTATTGACGAGCATCACCTTAAAATGTATAATAACCTAGTAGATTTTTTGTATTAATCTTTAATGTATTTATTTTCTCCATTCTATATAAAGTAATAAATTATTTTTGTTTTATAAATACAGTGATATTTAGAAAAATCTACATGCACAGAAGGTAAACAAAAAAAAATAATTATGGAGAACAGCACAATATAGTAGAACCCATATTCAGTTATGAGGCCCCTTAAACAAAATAATTTTGACTTTTCTATGTGTATGTAGCTCAGTTTAATTCATATACATGTACACAACTGCACACACAAACTACAGGAATCAGTGTACTTAATATTAACAATAAAGCTACACATATGAGGGAGCCAAAAAATAAATTTAAAAAATATGCAGCAAACATCACAAAGCTGTAGAGCTGCTGAAAGACACAGCTCTATGCTGACGGCTGACCTAACAGAAGATTCATATACACTTCTCTCAAAAAGAAAAGTAGCTAAGGTGTAAAGCTGGTTAAAGGTTCTCAAATAACGATCTGAAGCAAATAATGCAAATAGAACAAAGTCATAAGAAGATTAATAACTCCAACTCGCAGGAGGCAAGCAGTTGCTTATTATTTTACAAATGTGGTCAAGGATTTGAACTCGAGATGACTGAGAACAAATCCAGCATAGTTGCCAGAGCGGGACTTGAACCCAGAACCACCAGATTGTGAGTCAGACGCAGTCACTACTCAGCTATGCTGCTTCCAATATTAGTATCAGTGCCATAACACCAAAAACGTAGCTGTATCAAAATTATATGTTACAGGTAAAATTTGATTTCAGGTGAAATTTTTTTAACCTAGGTTGATTCTCATTTTCCTTTGTCTTCTAGGGCTATGAGACATTGGAAATTTACAATCACCCAAGGTTGAATCAAAATAAACCTGAATCAAATTTGACTTGCAACATATACATGTATCATAATGATTGGGTTCCTTTATTTTCAGCACTGAGCATTAACAGCATACCTTTTAAAGTTGAGCAGATCATTCAGAAGCTAGATGAAAGAAAGTCTTATGCGAATAACTGGTATCATGTAGCTCGGGAGCTTGGACTATCTATGGATGAAGCTAACAGTATAAAGAGTGAAGAATACAGGGAAGGGGGAAGTCCAACTTCGGCATTACTATTTCAACTAACCACTTGGGAGAGTGTTGTTACTTTAAGACAATTTGTACGTGCACTTTATCAATTAAGGCGACATGACATTTCCAAACTTATCATTGACTTCTACAGGAATGGGGAACAGCAAGCACTCACCAGCTCTGTATAACACAGGGTACATGTATATCAACACATCCATTCCTCAAAATTTCTGTTAAGGTGGCTGATCACAGTTTTGGCAGTTTGTGAGTATATGTCATTTGCCAAATCATGGCAAGAGAAAGGTTGCAGCTCACAAGGTGAAACTTGGCAAGTTAAAAAAAGAATACTGATGAAAGATTTTGATTTGCAGGTAAAATTTGATGTTTTTGTAGTATCCATGGCAACATGAATGATTGAATACAACCTTAAAATTTCACTTTTGCTCAGTTTACATGAAATTTGCTCATTAGATTTTCCTATAACGTGCACACAGCTTACTATGTGAAACTTATTTGACCAAATTTTAACAGATGGGTTTTCAGATATTGTACTTTAACAATTAAATGTGTCACAAAATTCGTCCGTTCAACTTCCATTTAAAGTTCTCATTATTTTAAATATGATAAAAGTAAAAATTCTCACTGCTAAATATCACAAAATTTTAATGAGTACTATTCTGAGAAATTGTCTTCTGTGTTAACCATTGCTTTTTTTGCAGCCATGTTTGTTCGTCTAATTTAAAACGCGCCGTCACGCGAGTTACCGCTGACCACCTGCAAAACTGTGTTCAGCCACCTTAATTAAGCTACATTTTATAACTATGGGGTATCAAACATGGCAGCATTAGACTAAGAAGCCTGGGACCAAGCTCTGTAGTGGGGGAAATGTGGCTAATGTAATTTAAGCGAGGTTGAACACGACACAATACTGGCCAGCGGTCTCGACCACTAATCGTAAATGGGGTGGTCTTAGGCTTAAGCAGGATTTTAGTAATTTTACAGTGCCTTCTTCAAAGTAAATTATTTTGCTTATGTTGCTTTCGTATCCAGTAAGTTTACTAAACTGTTTTTACCCCCAGCCTCCCCTCCCCTTTGGATGTTTTTTGGTAAGTATCTGCGCATTTCTCCAATGAGGTTATCAATGTGACGGTACCTTGTGGGTGCCGCTCACGAGGTTGTCATGGTTACCTTCTAGGCTCCCCGCGGTTTTACCAGGCACCTTCCTCACACTTATCTATAGTCGATGGGTTTAAAAAAGCAAAAATCAGAGTGAAAAAATTTAGCCAAGGACATTTTGTTGGGTTAAATGCACCACAGCGTAAACCTGGTCTGGGATAAAGCCATCCTAGATCATCCATATCTAAGGGTGTCCCGAGTATTGTCACAATAAACACTAAGGTATTGTAAAGAACCCCGGCCAATAACTTGAACTCTGAAGGAAAACGAAAAACAGGTTGAGTTAGTGGGGATTCAAGTTATCGGGATCGATTTTAAAAATGTTCAGTTTGCCTTGTTAATAATTGATAGTTACTGGTTGTTCAACACTTCGGTGTATATGACTTGTATAGCACAGTCGTACAAATTTACTTATTTCGTCAGAAACGGCAGCTTGATGCAATTTTATGGTAAAACGTGATCTGTTCGTTGCACCAATGAAAATCAAATTGCTTTGAGGTTAGTTTTAGCGTTTTAACCGTGGGTTTCCAAGAACCAGAAATCGCGTTATCGGGATAAATTTCAGTGAAATTTTGATCAAGGGAAAGGAAATTCATTTGGAGTTGGCGGGGAATTTGGGTTATCCGAGTTCGAATTAACCGAGTAAAAATGACTGAAAAATGGGGTGAAATCCAGGGAAAAAGGACTTAGTTCAAGTTTGGGTTGCCTTCGAGTTACCGAGGGTCTGCTGTATTTAGCAAATATCTGAAGTTATAAGATCTGCTATTAACCCTTCCATTTGAAAAATTTATTTCTCAAATAATAAAGAATTTTTCAAAATAAAAATTACATAGGTCTATCAAGCGAGAGCTGAGCTTTCTGAAGTTTGATATCCGAGGTGTGATTTCCGATTTATATCGCAGGCTCAATTTTTCGTAATTTGATTTCAGGTTATGATTACATTTCAAAAAGCGATTTTTTTCAACTTTGACTTTATAGCAGTTCTAATACCTTAAGGATGGTCGGCATCTGTAAATCTACGCGTGACTAATAGTTACTTGATTGTGTGAATCACGTACTCTTCGCTCACATAGATGTACGTACATTTATGTAAAACCTAAGAAACCAATTAAGGATAATGGTATTTTAAACAAGTTGCTTTAGAACCTGCCTAACGTGCCAAGAAAGCAAGTAAGGTTGTGAAATAACGACAAAATCAAACAAAAAGTCAAAAACGAAAATACAGAAAACAGTAAAACAAACAACAGCAAAACTAAATAAAAAGGAAGCAAAAAGAAAAAAAGAAATAAAACAGCAAAGACCAAAAAAAGCTGGTACTGTGCAAAATCATAATTAGGCAGCGGAAGAAAAAAGGAAAAAGCAATCAACATTAGTACCCATTGAAAGGAACTGAAAAGAAGGCTCTTATCAGTGCTTTAGGGGTAAGTGTTGCTAATTTGAGCATAAAACGTTATTCCATACTGATGAAGTCTTTGCAATTATTGTGACGTTACATGTAGAAGACAATCCTGGGCCCAGTTGTTCGAAGGCCGATGAGCGCTTAACCAGGGGTTAAATTTTACCCTGGTTTCTTTTTCTTGTGTTTAGAAGCATTTTCGCAGATAATTTTCTCTGTCATTTTTAGAGCTTCCAATCATCAACTTGTGGACAAACTTTTTAAGCTTTCAAATTTGAATTCAAATCTCGCACGAACCCTGGGTTACCATAACCCAGCTTTGAACAACTCGGCCCTAATTATAAAAACAAAACAAAACAAAACAACAAAAAATTTTTTTAAAAAACATCAAATAAACGAAGCCAGCTCTCCAAACAAATGACTTTCTAAAGAAATTAATAGCGAACGAAATGTAGTCGGCAATGGAGGTATCCCTTTGAGGTATCCCTTTGCTGTCGTTTGCTTCTTCAGGTTTGCACTGGCGCTGGTTACATCAGTAGCCACCATGGAGACAAAAACTCGCAACTGTGAACTCAAGAAGAAGTGAGCATAGAAAGAAAAACAAAAATGACAAAGAGAAACAAAAGACACTCGCACAACTGCACGTGAGTCAGAAATGAACTGGAGAAGTCCCTTTACAATGGCAAAGGGTTAAATTTGGTTTCGGTTTGGTTTCACTTTTTCCGGGAAAACAAACGATTAAGTCATTGCTTTTCTTCCATGAGTTATCATGAGTTATCTTATGTTCTCAATTGTTTTGACAACAAACAAAGTTATTAGTAAACGGATTGCCGATAAATAAGTAAATAAGTAGATAGATAAATTGATAAATGTTAATATGTACTATGAGGGAAATTTGGTTCAAACCAAAGGAATCAAAAATCGGTGACACTCGCGCCACCTAGGCCGCGTAGTTTTCGAATTGGCAGTTTATGGTTAGTTTTAGACTGTTTTATTTGTACCTTGCAAACCTTAGCAAATTGTTTGCAAACTTGGGGCGTGTCTACATGGAGGTGGGGGGGGGGGGGGGG